TCGCACACTTGCATCACGCACACACTTGCTCACTCTCTCGCACACATTTGCATCACGCACACACTCACTCACTCTCTCGCACACTTGCATCACACACACACTCACTCTCTCGCACACACTTGCATCACGCACACACGCACTCACTCTCTCGCACACACTTGCATCACACACACACTCACTCACTCTCTCGCACACACTTGCATCACACACACACTCACTCAAAACTCTCACACACACAAACTCTCACACTCACAGGTCTGACACACACCTTCTCCCTCTGCTGCGGCTGCGAGAGCGCCCGTATCTCCTCCCTCTGGACCTAGAGCGGGAGCGGGAGTGGGAACGGGAGCGAGACCTGTCAGAGACCAGAGGAGATGAGCGGACAGAGGGAACAGAGGAGAGAGACGCGTGTCAGTGTCACAGATTGACTGATTCATGTGACCCTCAGGCACTGACCTCAACTGAACTAAACAATCACATTACAGTTTAACATTACAGCTACAGTACAGAACAGGGCTGGGCCATATGACAGCGCTTTAAGCAATTCATTTCCATTAATCACTTTGTGAATCGATTCAAACGTCTGATGCAAACGAACGGTTCAATCACCACAATAGTTCAATAGTATCTCAATGACAGTAAAATAACACTCAAAAAACGTTGCAAAAGTTTCAGGAAAAATAGATTTACATTTATTACTTTGCATTGTTATATTGTTTAAAAATATTTATATTTATTTACATTTTTTCAATTAATTTACGCTATAATTATTATCTAAATAAATATTTTACTTTTTGCAATAAAAATTTTGAATGCAACTGGCAACGATGATTGGTCGAAATGATTTCTCTGATTAAAAAGTGATTATTTAGCAATATCTACACGAAATCCTCAAACATGATGGGAGTGTTATATCGCCCAGCCCTGGAACTCTCTAAAGCATCCAACAGATGTTAAAAAAGTTTACAGCATTAAACATTACGACTGCTTTGAGTTCAGGCAATGATATACAGAGAGACACATTAATTGGTACTTGAAATAAACCTTGCAACTTTGCAGGTCGACCCTCTTTGGAACCGAGGTCTAGCAGATTTAGACGATCTAGAAGTATCTATCATCAGCCGACCTCTGCATCTAGTCGTTCTCTTGGATTTCTAACGATGACCGCACTGACAGCCAAATCGCTTGATTGAGACTTGATAGAAGTGTGCAAGGCGCTTTTTCTGCCAAGGTCTCGATGCTCTCTTTATCAAAAGCGTAGGCACAAATCGCTAGCCGAATTTACTCGGATTGGCTCTCTCATCTGGTTTGGGTTGGGGGAGGGGCTACGAATAGTTAAGTAGCAGTGGGAGGAGCCTCAGCGAAGGGGTGTGGCTGCTCGTGCCCCGGTCATATGGGATTTGCTAGATGCCTCATGAAATCGTAAAGGATCGTGACTCTCTGAATCAAACGATGAAACCTGAAAGGTTTTGACCAGGTTACATGAAATCCCAAAGAACATTGGAGAAAACATCAGTGCAGAAAACAACAAAACATCCCCCCGTTAACCCGCAAATCCAACAGAAGTCAAGCAGACAGAGAGAGAGAGAGAACAACATCACAAGGAAACAGCAGATGAACAGCAGTGTTATTGATCAGAGACAGCGTCGGTCGGCTGTACCTGCTCCAGCGCCGCCGGCCGTAGCGGTGGCAGTCGTAAGCGTAGTGGCCCTTCTCGCCGCACTCGTAGCAGCGGTCGCTGGGGTCGAAGGGACGCCGGGTCGGTGGACGGTCAAAGCGGGAACGCCGCGGCATTCCGGTGGAGAGTTCGACGCGCACGCGAGAGCCGCAGATCACCCTGAACACAAAGACCAGGAAAAAAACACTCTAAAATCTGCTGTAAAATACACAAAAATAAATAAAAATGGATATTATTATTGCAATGCACTTATCATCACAACCCTGTCGCAACACATTTATCACAGCAATCTGACATCTTGTTTTTTTTTTACCTTTATATAATACAGATTGTGTCGAAGCAGCTTTAAAGTGTCAAACAGGAAAATAGTTTGTCAATAATGCAAGAGGACAATAACAGAGAGTCATTTTTCCAGCTAAAGTCAGTGCATTGATGATTCAGTGTCTGTGCAAGCGACAGTATTTTCAGAAATGAAGCGTCACCAAACATCTGTCACTCAAGGCTTGAAATAAAGAAATATGCATGGCTTATACAATTTTGAATATAGAAACATTAAATGATTTAAATAACTGAAATGATATTGAAACTAAAACTGCCAGCAGGTGGCGGCAAGTCACTGATTTTAGCACTGAATCATTCATTCAACTGATTCGTTCAAACGGCTGATTCATTCAGGAACGAAGCAAGTGACTGTCTTTATGAATGAGTCATTGAATCAGTGACTCACTAGATTCGTTTAAACACTCACGTTCATTTATAAACGAAACACCGCTGTGTTTGCTTGGAGATGTGCAGCGGCTCAGCTGGGACTTTGTTTGAAACTATTATCGTTCGTAAATTTAAAACAAGGTTTTCATCCAATATTTATATTTTATTTCAGCTTTATTTCAATTTAAGGCTGTTTTAATGAAATAAATGTGAGGGATGCATGTTTCAAACTATTGTGACCTACTTATGGTCTGCTGTTGATGAATTATGACATTGTTTACTCTATGGTGTTTCTACTGTAATATGGTCGTAAAATACATTTCAAAATAAGAGTCTCAGTGTATTTTTGTTTATAAAATCATCGAGCACCAGTCTCAGATCAGCAGTCACTCACTTGGCATCGAGGCCCCTGACGGCGTCCTCAGCGTCTCTGGGATCTTCAAACTCCACGAAGGCGAATCCCGGCGGGTTGCGAGCGATCCACACCGTCCTCAGTGGCCCGTAATAACCGAATGCCCGCTCCAGCTCACCCTTCCCTGCCCCGGTGCCCAGGTTACCCACGTACAACTTCGTTTCTGAGAGAGGAGAGAGGCGTAACATCTCATCTACAGTTTACCATGATGATCCACAAACAGGATTCTAACCCCTTTAATCCCACATTTTTCCCAGACATTTCAAAATTGTTACTTTATTGTAACATGTATCGTAAAATTAGTGCTACTAGTATTACAACATCAATATTGTAACTTATTTGTAACATTCTAAACTTTTAATTCAGTGCAACATTTTGTCATTGCAACATTTTAGTGCAGCCTTCACTAATAGCTGCAGTTGCATGTATATGTAAACCTAAACGCACTGTATTGTGACATGTTTACTCATTCTGTGACCACACTCAACAAAACTGAATAACTGTGAGTTCATATATTAATGCTAGACACCTTAAAGATAACATGTATCAAAAATCTTTGTCATATCTTTATGTTAACATACTTTACTAGCCTTTTGTTTTGGACAAGGCTAGTTTTTGACTGCACATATTTAATTGAGACCCTTTATTTTTTCCATATTTGCAGGAAATGCACCAAAACATCAGTCAGTAACATTATTAGAGCTTCATAAATATGGTGAGATTAAATGGGTTAATTATATATTACTGGTGTTTTTACAATATATTATATTTTCATATATATATATATATAATGTTTTTCAGTTTTTATTTCAAATTTAGTTTACATTTTTAAAATATTGTTATGTGCTTTTATCATTTTATTATTATTTCTACCTAGCTTTAATTTATTTTATTTAGTTATTTTAACTCTTTAACTTAAAAGTTATTTGCCAAGGCAGCTTTTTATTATTTTTTTAAATAAAAAGTTAACATTTATATTTTATTTCAGCATTATTTCAATTAAAAATTTATTTTTAATAGTTTTCGTTAACAAAAACAAGGTTGATACCGAGTCTACAACCTGCCATATTTTACACTTTAATGAAAATATAAACTTCCACTAAACTCTTTAAGCACCTACACGTTTAATTGACTAAAATTATCAAAAGCTCATTTCATTTATGAAATACAGAGCAAACTGTAATAAAAGACCTAAACATCCTAATTACTGAGCTATAACCCCAACAAACTAATCCATCAGCGTACAAATACACATAATCTGCTTCTAAACCATCTACGTTATGATTATTACTACTACTAGTAGTTTATAATTGTAAGGATTATTATTATTAGCCAGTGTTTACAGCGCGCCAGGGTTAGCAGTTAGCATCGCGTGCTAAACACATCAAAGCTCTACAATAAGCAGCCGCATTCACACACGAGATGAAACATGACATGTGTTTAATTTTCGTGATTTATCAGACTCACCGCCTCCGTGTCGCCCGTATCGCGACATAACGAAGAAAGAAGTGAAGAAATCCTGACAGAAACAAACAGCCGCCTGTCAAAGGATGACGCTGAAAACTACGTTTCCCATAATGCTCCTGTTCCGAGCTCTGACTGCGCGCTTATTCTAAATAATTTATTTTGCTTTATTATTAGGCTTTTTTTGTGTTATATATATCCCGTACACTCTCTATATGTTTAATAAACATATTTATATATTATAAAAGAAAATCTCTGTGACCCAGCCAACCAATCACACGAGCGTTTGCGGCAGTGACGCCACACGTGACCTCCGGACGCGGAGAAGTTCGCGGTAAAGATGAAGTCGCTGATTGATTCGCGGTGACCGAGTGATCGATTCTCCGCCGGGATGCCGCAGTGGAGCGCCAGGAGTCCTCGGCACTGGCACGAGTTCATCAATCATGAGGTTTGTGTCACGGCTGGAGATCAGCAGCGCTTTGAGGGACGTGTGTTCACGGTGGACCCCGTTTCCGCCAGGTAACGTTAACGTTAAACATCACCTCAGCTCATATTAGCAGTGAGGCAGCTGAAGCATCTGAACACGATTTTCTAAACGATAATATATTTGTAACTTAATTTAAAACATAGTCATAATTGGAAGTATTTAAGTGTTTTTTTTTTTTTTAAATATGTAAATAAATTTTTAAGGTGAGGGGCTTCTGGAAACACTTTCACTCAAATGAATCGGTGAATCACATGGGTTTTGAGTCACGAGGTGAATCATTTGCGTTGGGGATAATTATGAATCATGATTCAATCATTTGCGTTTCAAATCATTGAGATGAATCATAGGCGTTTTGAATCATTAGGTGAATCATTTGAATTTTTATTAATCATGATGCAAATCATTGGCGTTTCAAATCATTATGAGGTGAATCATTGGCGTTTTGAATCATTAGGTGAATCATTTGAATTTTGAATGATTATGAATCATGATGCAAATAATTTGCGTTTCAAATCATTATGAGGTGAATCATTGGTGTTTTGAATCATGAGATGAATCATTTGCGTTATGAATTATGAGAATTACTTGCGTTCAATGATGAGGTGAATCATTTGCGTTTTGAATCATTAGGTGAATCATTAGAATTTTGAATGATGATGAATCATGATTCAAATCATTTGCGTTTCAAATCATTGAGATGAATCATAGGCGTTTTGAATCATTAGGTGAATCATTTGAATTTTTATTAATCATGATTCAAATCATTTGCGTTTCAAATCATTATGAGGTGACTCATTGGCGTTTTGACTCATTAGTTGAATCATCTCTGGTTCTGTTCTTGTGTCGGCTGCAGTGTGGTGCTGCTGAGCGTCCAGGAGAACGAGCGTCCGTCGGTGAGGGTGATTCTGGGTCACGCGGTGACCGATGTTCAGATCCTCCGGCGAGCTCTTTAAGGGCACATGTTGCTTTCGTTTAGGGCTACGAGGGGTTTGCGTTCTCCAGCAGCGGCGGCCCGTCGCACGCAGTGGACTCTCTCTTGTAGGTCTTGGGAGGGAGTTTGGGGATTGGTGACTGTGAGGTGCTGTGGCGTGGCGGGACGGGCGGCCCGGAGGCTCCCAGCGGCGGCTCACAGTCCAGAGCGGGCGGCAGTGGCGAGGAGGGCGGGTGTTTGCGCGGGCCCAGCGGCGAGGGCGTCTGCGGCGGGAAGAAGGCCTGGCTG